ATTTTTAAGACCTTCACCCTAAGATATTTTATTGTCCAAATTAACTTACATCATATTAGAAAACACTACTGTCATTAGATGTTATTTTTCAAAAGGATGGTGTTATAAAGATAATTTTTTTATATTATTTTTTAATATAATTTTTGTAGTAGATACATTTAATATTACATATTTTATATTAATTAAAATAATCAATCATGTAATAATAAGTCATATAAAAAGATAAAATAAAAATATTATACAAAAATCATTTTCTTTTTCAAAGAAAACAATAAAAATCCATAAAAAGGAAAAGAAAACATTAAATATAATATTAGGCATTAAATAGGGTTTTCTTTATCAGTTACCACTTTATTTTTTCTTTCGTTAAATTAGAATAAAGAACAAAGTAAGTTTACATGTTATATTTCTTTCCTTAATTTAAAGTCAAGTTAAATAAGATTTTATCAAAAAAATTCTTTTAAAAGTTGTCTCTTTATTTAAAAGATATACTCAAAATTTTATTTTAAAAAATTAAATTTTTTCAATTTAAACCAATAAATCATTACTATAGCCATTACTTCCTAATCTAATCTAATTGATAGTATTTTACAAACTGCTGTATTACAAAATGGAGAACACAAATTTTCCTCTTTTTTTTTTGGAGGCTTGGAGACTCTGGGCTAAACTAAAAATCTAAAAACCCAAATTAAAATCCAGCCCAATTTCAGGGATAGAATTGTCATTTGACACTCTAACTCCAGTTAGGGTTTCAGTCTCGAGTTCTATAAGAAGGTTCTCTTCACCGCACTTGCAGTCGTACTTTTGGGATGATCTCATTCTGCTTCTTCTTCTGCTTCTTTTTCTAGATTTTGTTATTTATATATTTTTTAGCGAAAGGTTTTTCTTTTTTTTTGGGGTGGAGGGGGGAGTTAAAAAAAGCCAATTAGCAGAGCAAGGGCGTCTATGAAAATGGCGTGATTTGCATTGAAGGTTGGCGATAACATTCTGCGATTCTCCGTGCCCATCAAATTCCATTTTTTCATTTTGATTGTGGCCTCGAACAAGTCGCGACACATCTTTTATATATATTTTTATTATTTAAGATTGATTGATGAATGAATATCTTTGGTTTTAATTTACCTAAAATTTTAAGTGCAAAAGAAATAGATCTGAAATATTTTTGTTGGATTTATAACATGTGATGGTGAGGTCGTCGATGATGATAAATTTGAAGGCTTGTTTCTCAAAACATTCGCAGTGGCCGCCTAAGAGCTTTCGCCTTCGCCAGGCTTGAGAGCTTATGCTGCTCCCATCCTTCCTTGGATGTCTGAGACCTCCCACCTCCTAACTTCCAATTTTTGCTTTTTCTTCTTTTATTTTTTTATTTTTTTTTTAAATTCTTGTAAGGGAATTGTGTTTTTCCTAAACAAAAAATTGATTTTAGAAAGTAGAGTGGGCATTAAAAGATATAATTTATTTTATAAATTTAATAAAATATTTTTAATAAATTCTAAATCCTTATAAAAAAAGTGTAATTCAATATTAAAATATTATATGTATAAAAAAATATTGAAACATTATAAATTTTATTAATAATATTTTAATAATTTTAACATGAGATTCAAGTTTTTCTTTGTTTCATAAATTTATTTATATATTTTTAATAAAATTATTTTATTAAAAATATTTGAATAAATTTATAAAATAAATTATGCTTTTAATATATTGTTTGTATTCAAAATGTTTTTTAATATATATGAAAAAAAAAAAAGAAGAGTACAATTCTTATTGATTTTCTATAAACGGATTTTTAAAAAAGGCCCTTGTCTTTACTCTTATTTTTATCAAAATCAAAATTACACTAGCATTTGTCTTGTGGTTATATATACTAAATCTATAAAAAGAAAGAAAAGAATTGAGGCCAAACTAAAGTAAGTCCACACAGTACGAGCTAAAAATGAATTGAAGGCCAAACTAAAGTAAGTCCACACATAAAAATGTAAGCCCCCTAGCTTGTGACTCCAAAAATAAAATGTGTTGCCAATCGAAATTTTGATAGGTACCCCAAATATATTGTTGTTAACTCTGAAACTGGACAAAGGTCTAGAATGTCCCTAATTCCATACGCATAAAAGAAAAATTAATAATAAAATTTATAGAAAATTATGTTTATTGAAGATAAAGATTTAATGCTAACAACCAAAATCACCA